ATGATGGCTGCAGAGGCTGTCCGCTCTGCTCCTCCTAAAGAATTTTTTAAGTAGGTATTATTGTATTATAAAATCCACTGTACATAGTCTCATAACATATTTAAACTNAACATCAGAAATCTCAACAATCTTGAAGCATTATTAGATGATGGCTGCAGAGGCTGTCCACTCTGCTCCTCCTAAAGAATTTTTTTGAAGTATGTATTATTGTATTATAAAATCCACTGTACATTGTCTCATAACATATTTTAACTTGGATTTAAATTTTACTTTTGTTAATAGCTATAGGTTTTTTTTCTTTTTTTAAGTATTTACTTCTAATTTAACTCGTTTTTGTTATGTCCCCGTATTAGTAGGGGAGTTTTTCCCCAGCTAGGTGGTTGATGACATTCTTAATAAAGTTTCTGTCTATCTACCTAGTTGCTTCATGCTACAGAAACCAGAATAAGCTCCGGCCTGCTGGGCCACTTGGCTTGTATGCAGACTTGACCTTTTTTCATGAATGTATTTTTTGCATGAAATTTACTTTCAAGGTCTATGTACTTTTTTGATTAACAGGCACATTTCACCTATAGCTGCTGTGACAGAGGATACTATTTCAGAAAAACTTCAGGAGCAGGAGTCACGTCAAGCAGAGTTGAATCACTATGTGAAAATGGTAAATTCTTCAATTAAGATAATAAACAAGAGTCTGCTTTTCCAACCTGTTTTTCTCACTTAATTGTATTTATTTTGTTGACTTTCTTCAGCTCCTGCAAAGATCACCTGGAGATCAACATTATGAGGTAATTTAAACAAAGGTATTAAGTCAAGATTATAATTATGTATAATTATATAATAATCTGAGACTAGTGTCCAACTTTAAATAGAGATGGGGGCTATAATTCACCAATCATTTTCAACCACTTGTTGTCATGCGACTAAATATACCTGAAGCCATGTGACAATGTGGAGCTAACTTTGCTGAGGAAGACTGTGAGATATGGTGGAAAGCTTTGTTGCTTTAATTTCAGACCATGCGAAGAGAATTGTTATTATCTATTGAAGTCTTACTATTGCAGGCTTTATCATAGTTGTTGGGAAGTTGGTTCTGATAGTGCTAAATCAACCGTCTTTCGTCCCTCTCCCCCTCCAAAGAACTAAGCTGCCTCCTATCTTTGTACTCTTACTGTTTTGACCACTACACATGCTAACTTTGTCACTTAGAAAGATACCTAGAATGTTATGACATTGTACTGTTGACATTACATTGTTAACTCATTCATTTTTAGTCTCCCACGTTTTGAAAAGCAGGTTTTTTGTGTCTTGTTGCAGCAAGAAAAAGACCACCTCCCAAATGGCCTGATGTTGATTCCTTCAACTGCTGAAGTGCGAGGTTTGTGCAATCCTTTACTATAACTTAGTATAGATGGGCTGTAAACTTTTGCAGTTTGTACAAGTCTGTCTTTCCAATTCTTTCAAAACTTTCAAACCTGGTGGGATGGCTCATCATTTGGCAACATTTCATTATATATATGATCAAATTCTCTTTGTCTATTTATCAAATGAATTTTGATATCATCTCCAGTCCTGTTATGTTTTTGCAATTTTGCAAGGGGCTGTTAAAAGTAATCGAACACCCTCAAAGGTAGCTTGTACCACCATGTCACAAATTTACCAGTCTCCATGAGATGGAAGTAGATGTATATTTACAAAACCTGCCTGGTAGACTGCTGGTGATAATGACCACTACTAAGTTATTATTATTATTATTATTATTATTATTATTATTATTATTATTATTATTATTATTATCATCATTATTATCATTATTTTGTCATTCATGTAAACCTTAGATGGATCTTCATCGTCAGGAGTCATATCTCCCATTCAATCAGATCATCAGTCTGAACCAAGACATGTGACCACCCCAATCTATCCTCCCACAGGTTCAAGCAGTCACTCCTGTCAGGTAGAGTCATTACTATAATGATATATTTTTGAAAATATATATGGCCCTCAAGTAATTCTGCAGAGAAATGGTGAAGATGAAATAAATGGCGCAGTTACATTTAATTCCTACTGTTGATTTTTGTTTTGGTAATCACATGATTTCAGGGCTAATGAAATTGCATTGTAAGCCCTATGAGCTCATGCAGTTTGTAGTCTTTGAAACATTTACAATTGCTTGTTTATTCAAAATTGGATGAGAATAATCATGTGATTACTTGTTAATAATACACTTGAAAACATGTACTATTTATGGTCATCTACATGTTCTTTCCTAGGCAGGCTGCAGTGTGATTGGTATTCCAATAACTTTGAACATTTCTGAGAATATTCACAAAACTTCCAAAAATGTTTGAAAGTCTTTGGAGAACTTTGGGTGATATTCAGCCATCTTCACTCGTGTTTCACATTTGCACTGGTGTTACATGAAAACTGCACTCCTTTTTAGCCAATCAGAATTGAGTAATTTTATTTATTTAGTTATCAGGGATGATAAAGATGGTCACTGAAACGTTCTTCAAACAGAAAGATTTTGCTGGAAAATTGCTGTAAAAGAATTTAATCATTGTTAGTAGTTACAAACTTCAAGGCACTTAAACCATTTATATCTCGTTCAAACAAACAAATCAAAATATTTGATTTGCGAAGTCAGCATTCACCTTGATGAGCAGACATAATAGCTTCTCCACTTAAATATGGTAGAGCAGAAAAATCATTACAGGCAACAGGGTCTCCTCATGCTATATTCATTGCACAGGATGGTAAACATAAGGGACAACCAACACAACCAGCCTTCACAAAGACCACAGTCACACCAGGTTCATTCAGCATGCCAGTACAAGCCAGGAGAGATGGTTTTACAAGTCAGGTAATAGTTAAATTACAATTATTGTAATTAAAAAGATGATATAACTGAAATTATTTTGAGTGTGGTTACCTTAATTCTCAGATATCTCTGCAGATCTTCACTTCTCTGGTTTATATTCAAAACATTTAAATATTTGCGGATCAACTCACAGAGAACAGTCAATAAAAGTCATCATAGGAGTGAAATCTTGGACAAAATCTATGCTTGCATGTGCCAACAATAACTCAGCACTGTTTTGTCTTGCAGTAGTACAGAAATGAAACCTTGAGAACAGCCTGGGGGTTTCAATTTTAAAAATGTTAAAAACTTGAGAATTTCCAAGTGTCATTTAGGACATTTCACTGTGGGAATCAAAAGGACATGTGGATTGAGCACTCTTGATTTAACTTTGACATGTTGATTCTCCACTGCCAATCAGATTGTAGAATACACCACAGGTTACCTCAGGCTTGTGGTTCATTCATGTCACATTAGATTGGTTTCCTCTTGCAAGGCGACAACACTCCACAAGATAAATAATTCTTGTGTTTATGCTTTTTCATTTTGCAATGTGCAAAACAATGACATATTTCAAAAGCAAACCGGGCCAGTTTGAGAATATTAAAGTCGTCACATAATCACATGATTGTGGGCATGAATATTTAAAAAAAAGTCATCCATTTATAAAGCCTAGTAGATGGTTCTACTGTTTTCAGCAATCACTGCTATGTCCACCACATCTGAAATAACATTGTTTCATTGAAAACTAGTTCTGTCTGCATTTTTGCTTTTAACAGATGCCATCTCAATTGCCGCATGCAAGATTAGCTCAAGTTGCACCACACACTCCACCCCGGAGAGAAAGAGACAGTGATGATCAACCTCCACCCCCAGGGGCTCTAACTCCTCAACAGGTCGGTCAGTTGTCCAGAATGCTGGGTCTGTTCTCAGGGCCAGGTCAGCCACAACTGACAGCAGAGCAACTCTTTGCTTATCTCAGAGGTGTTCAAAACAAGTGAGTATTTTTGAAAGAGCTGCTTTTTCATGCAAACTTGCATTTACATTGATTTCATGTGATGTTTGATGGCTTTTCTCTTTTATCAGCCCTTTAGGTAACATTTCTTCATCAGGACCAAACCCAGTCAGCACAAAGAGCCACAGTACACACGAGCAGTCTGGGCCTGGGCCTAATGTGAGGGACTCTCCTCCCCAGGCTTCTCACAGACAACAACAAATGGGAGCTAACAAGGCAAGAAGAAGTCTGGACACTAACTTTCACAAGAGACAGGTGAGAACACACAAGTCACTGATTTCTTTGACTAATAAGACCGGGTATAGCTCTTTGTACCAGAACTAAACAGCTTGATCCTATACAGTTGCCAGTTCATTGAAACAGTAAGATATTTTGGGACTTGTTATTCTCTTTCTACAGGTCCAAGGTGGTCAAACCCAGGGCCCTTCTGTAAGTGGTCACCCTATAGTCCCACCAGGTGGCCAGACTACCAAGTCTACTGAGCAACCAGGCCAGACAAAAGCTCACAAACAGCCAGTGAAACAAGCATCAAGTCATGTAGGGCCTCCCCTCAGATACCATGGGGTACAAGATGGAACTAAACTGCCAGCAAAAACTACACAGCAAAGTAAAGAAACCAAAGCAAAGCCTGCTCCTGCTGGGAAACAAACCAAGATTAATGCTTGGAGATAGCTTCTATAATTTGTTATCATTTATTTTTGTACTTGTCAATATATTTCACAGAGCAAAGGAAAGCAAAATATCATAGCTTTATTTTCTAATAAATTATGATCTGAGAGAAGTCTAATCTGATTGAAACAGTTGTTTGTTATTTTCTCTCATGTTACATTTAAGAGTAGATTCTCTTTGCTGACACAAACAGAAATTGGGTGTTTACAAAGGAGAATAAATCTTTTGAGTTGACTGACTTATGTTGAAATACGAAAATCTAACATAATGGACCTTTTTGCCTATGTTACACTATATCAGTAATCTTTGGTATTTTTCTACAAGCAAAAACCACCTTCATAGTCTAGATCAATCAATCAAGCTGAATTTAGTAGACATGCAAAGTTTCATGACAATCAGTTGCAAGCCCATGAATATATGGGACCCCAAACTTGCCAATTTTTACAAAGAAATGTATGCCAGAGGGCAAGCATTGCCTGCTGGCATACATTCCTTTGTAACTATTGTCAAGTTTGGGGTCCCATATATTCATGAGTTTGCAATGGATTCTTATCAAACTTCACATAATATGTACTAAATTTGACATGATCAATCAAGTGGTGATGCCTATTTTTTTGTTTGAATGAAGAAAAAATTAAAAAGCATGGCATTAGTAAAAAGGTCCATAACTTGACAAAATTAACATCCCCTTTAGAGCATCTCTTTTATAAGAAATGAACTTTCCCCAGAACACCACCTTCCTCCAGTGTTAATATGACTCGAATTAATTTACAAACATTGTCTTTCATTGGCCAGCCCCTTATTTCTCTCTGGCTTGCCATGTGAGAAGTGAAAACTGGAGTTCAGTCAAATTTTCACACAGCCATTTTTCTTGTGTATGTTACACTTCTTGTTCAACAGTCACGGTACGGGGAAACCTAGGAAAACTGTTTGTAGGAGATTTGGCTAAGTTTAATCTAGTTCAGTTAAAGATGTTCAAACTTCTAATGTATGTGTCCAACTTGGAAGCAAATAACTCGCTCTGGATGGGTTCATCAAGTCGGCAAAGAGGATTTTTTACCACATACTCAACATAAATCTGAAAAGGAAGCAAAACATCATTACTGATGATATCATTAATGTATGTAACTTTGTGCAGGCATGTATATGGTTGTTTACAGCTGAGTGCAACGTGATCATTTGCAACATGATGTAAACTTCTTCTCTAATTTGCATCATTTCCAGTTGCTAACTTGATCGTGTTGCACCCAGCTGCAACACAAGACTAAACAACGATATTTAGAGAGGAAGCCGCATCAGCCTTAGCTGGTTTTCCTGGGGGTCCACTACCCTGGGTGAGCTTGAATTTGAAGTGTTGATTTTTGTGGAGGGAGGAGAACTGGAGAACCAGGAGAAAAACCCTCAGAGCAAAGGCAAGAACAACAAAGTCAATCCACATATAGCACCGGGCCGGAATCGAACCCATGCCACATTGGTATAAGGCCAGTGCTCTCGCCACAGTGCCATCCCTGCTCCCACTACGTATTGTAAAGTTCTGATCATCATCTAATTTCACCTTACAACATCAATACATTGTTAAGCATGAAGGCGATGAGAAACAGATAAATTTCCGTCAAATACCTTGCTGTATATATTGAAGAGAACATCTCTTGTGGTTCCAACACTCAAATCTGTGTTCATGATGAACTTGAGCCCTGTTGGTGTTTCATAGAAATGGAGCTTGTACTTGCTTGTTCGGTAATTTAAGAATCCATCTTTTCTGTCTTTGAGTTAAGGATTTCTCAAGTGAACTTTTCAAATAGACGAAGGGTGAGAATCAGTTCTTTCATTGCCCCCATTCAGGCAGAACCAGTGAACCACCAACAATCACAGATGGTAACTAGCAAAGCCTTACTATCAAAATACAGTATATCAGTATGACTGCTATCAAACTCTGTATACATAAGCATGTATCATAATCCAATGTGTACTTCCAGAAAATATCTGTACCTCCCTAGCACAGAAGGGATTTTGTCTAAGACCCTCCCCCAACCCAGCCCTCTAAAACTTTTCATACATTCCTTTAAATTTTTCAGTGTTACAGAATCCCCCACCCCCAGGAAATTCCAATGATCCCTCCAGTGGAGGAGTATGGATATTTCTGGAACTGCACAATGATGCATGCTCACGACAAGAGCAAAGTAAACTTTGCTTCACCAGAGAATTTTTTTCATGTGCAAGTAAATGATCATCTTTGTACATGTCCCACTGGCAAATTATGTCATAAACCAATGTTGATTCACCGGCATGATTTCAGCTGTGCTACATCAAGACACGAAGCACTGTGAAGTGTAGAGACCACTTAAGAAACTTGAGTTGGTCTCAGTTGTGCCTCAAGCAACTGTTTTTACGTTTCTATTGTGCTCTCCAAACTTCCCAGCATGTACACGTATCACACAGTATCTTAGATGCTACAGGATACATCAGTCATTTCTTAATTGATTACGTATTTCACTGCCATGATAAGAAAGATATTTCAAGAATACTCTGACAGTTTGTGAGGATACGATTCCGAGGGAGACATCCGAGCCACAAATGACTTGATTGAGTACAGCATTCCATACATCAGCTTAAATTCCTAGAAAATAGGAAGACTGTATTTTAAATTTAACAGCGCCGTTTGCGCCCGAAAACTCGATTTAGCACCCAACATACCTTTACAGCTTATATGAGCCAGTATCCCCCTCCCATAAGGTGCAGTTGAAGGTTAGTTAAAACGGCACTACTGTACATGAATGATTTTGTGAATAACCAATAAAATGTCAGTCACGTCTCAGCTTACCTCGTCCTTTGACATATTTGACTCTTTACGTCTATTCCAAGACTCATAATAAAGACATGTGCCATTCCGATCAAATACATACAGATTATAAATGGTCATTTCTGAAGCTTATTTTTCAATAATAATGAGATAAACTTGTGATTTTAGACTCACTCTCCGGCCGACTCCCCGACCAGCATAATTTTGTATGTTTCGCGGGTTCAGAAATATGTCAGCGGTAACTTTTTGAAGAAATAGGTGATTCATAATAATCGGTCATTTAACTGTTGCAGCGTGGTAGGTAGAGTTCGTTTAGCAAAGTGACTAAGTTCCTCTAAATTTCTCAGATTTCCTGTGTATTCTACGCTGTATTTTAGCCAAATGAAGCCTGCAGGTGTGGCCCAAGATGAAATGTTTCCCGATGGAGATGCTGGGTGGATGGAAATGGATGAGGTAACGATTTGATTTATCTGAATTATATCCACCATTCCATGCATGCGAACAACCTCTTCCGCTGTGTACATTTGTTCATTCAAGTTTTCCGGTTTTGTTCCCTTACTTTTCATTGTTAGGCTGCATCAGGTGGTGGAATGCTCATTGAGCTAGCAGCAAATGAGAGAGCAGTCCATGGAGACTTCTTTAACAGTACATATAAGCTTATACCTTGTACTTTTTAGCTTAATAATTTATAGCTAAAACCTTTGCCGTGTTTTCCTAGTCAACAATATAAGCTTACATGCAAAGATTTCAGCCTGCTGATTGGCTGAGAGAATGTCATTTTGTCCCAAACAGTGCAGAAAAATGAAATTAAGCACAAAAGGTTGAAATTAAATTGCATGTGTATTGATTTAAACAAGTAATCAAATAAATTTTCTCATGCAATTTGGATTAAATAAATAGTAATATTCATAAATTTTTCAAAGACTACAAATTGCACTAGCCCTAAGGGCTCATGGAATGTTTTTTTCAGAATTGCACTTGAAGTCATGTGATTACTTACACAAATTATTGACATATATACTTGTTTGTCCTATAGATTACAAAATTGTTACAACAATGAATATCACAAGGATCAAATAACGCTTGTAAACTTGTTTTGTTTGCTTTCTAGATTTTGATGACCTCTTTGATGATGATGACCTTCAGTGAAGAATTAGAATAATTTACTATAACTTTGTAAATAATTTTCAATGAGACTTGAAAGCATACAGTCAAACATGATGTAAATAAAGACGTTATGTGAATACCATCCTCGGAGACCCAGGGGCAGTTAGTGGGGTGGGGAAAAGTCTAAACAGTGCGAGAAAAAAGCCGGACGAAGAAAAGTCAAGAACAAGGTGAAGTTTCTCGTTCTTGACTTTTCCTCGCCCAAATTTTTTTTTCACCTGTTTAGACTGTTCCCCACCACCACTACCTGCCCCCAGGTCTCCAAGGATGTGTGAATGCATACATAGCATAAAATTAGAGGCAAGTTGACTCCTGTATTTGTAAAACTGTTATGCTGTTTTTTTGCTCTATGTTGAACCGTTTTGAAAAAGTAAATAAATGGTTGTGATAATTTTTTAAGACAGGTTTGTGTTGTGATCAAATCCAAAAACATGAATCAACAAAGCTATATAAGTAAAATATTAAGTCCAACAGTATTTATGTCTTCCATACCTTGGGAGTTCATTCCAGCTTCATAAAGTGGCAAATTATTTAAGAATTACACAGTTAGAAACCAAGATAAGCAACCATTCAGCCAGAACATCTGGAAATTTTGGTTTAAAGTCAAATGAAACAGTAATTTTATTCCTGGTGCCATCTATCAATCATTAGATGGCCTCTGTGTAACTAAGCAGATGATGTGACCAGGGCTGAAACCAGAAAAAATTATGACTGAGACAATGTCCATGGCTTAATTCTCTTCCTAGGTATTTTGGGTGTTTATGATGACTGTAAACAACAAAACAAAAAACAATGACTGAAGCAAGTGCCTTGGTTTGTCTGTTACTAGCTATGGCCCTCCCAGTGGGTTACAGTAAAAGAATGAAAGCTTCTCCCTGCAAGAGGAATGCTGGTCAGGACAGGTTTTAAAACATTTCACCTGGCTGTAAGAGTTCACTGGAACTGAAACTACTGTTACCTCTGAGAGAGAAAAAGTTTCTTGCCCAACTGACATATAAACAGAATGCCCCAAGCAAGCACTTGAATATACCATGCTATTAGACCTGGAATCCAGTGTGTTAAGTATCAGCATGGGTCACACCACACCTTCTACAGTGATATTAATGGCCTTTGTGTCCATTAAAAACTTAGTCAAGTTGTCAATAAATTTTGTATTTTTTATTGCCAAATCTTTCTCCATTTTATGTATTTTTTATACAAAATGAGTAAATATATAGACCATGACATTAGCTGAGAGCTGCTATATGATGTTTCAGAATCTTATTTCTGAAAAGTAAGTAAATAACCTCCTGTCAGGCCCAACCCAAGCTTCGTCACAGCACTCCACCCCTACCCTACCCAACCGAGTTTGAGAAGTCTGTTGTCACATGTTCATCTCTGTCTGGGACGAGTTGATTGATGTTTTGTTCGCAGAAGCGTGTTGAATGCTCTTTTAGAAATATTGTGATCGCATTAGAAAATACCGCTTTAAAGTACAACAGATATCAGGTAGATCTTGCAGTTCCAGTTGTCTAACCAAAAGACTGTTCAATAGTAGCTGATAGATCGAAACGCTGTTGTTTGAGACTTCTGAATCATGGCTGCGAAGACCATCTCTTGTTTACGGTTGTATGGTTATGTTATTGTCGGTGAGTACGAGTTTCTTGCGCTTTATTTTGCAAAATTACGAAGGATACTGGGATATTTTGTTGCCGAAAAACGTTCTTTTAGAATGTCACGCTTTTCGCTGGTAAATAACAATTTGCCGGCCTGTTGTAACGCGCAAAATTTCGTTTCAGCTTGTAAGCATGCAGGGTCTCTTGGTGGTAAGCGATCTACTCCAAGAGAGCGAGAGATAAAACTAGATTCGTCTTTGCGACCTCATCTGTTTGCAACTTTTCTCTTACGGATGGACTTTGGTTTGAGTCACGCGGGGTGTTTTTCCCTTTTACAATGGAACCTCTCCACAACGGCCATCTTGCCTTGGGAACAGAGGATGCACGTTATGGGGAGGTAGGAGTGTATGATGACCAGTGGCGGATCCAGACCTTGAGCTAAGAGGGCGAGGGGCTTTTTTTTATTTTGCTTGCTCCGCCAGCTTTTCTTCCTTCTGCGTTTTTTTGTTTTTTGCCCAAATTAAGCGGGGGGGGGCTGGCTTTCCCTAGATTTGCCACTGATGACTCTTGTTGTTTTGGGGGGTGCAATATTTTTTCAGTCAAAAATGCTTATTTTAGCATATATAAATCAAAATGTATCAATAAAACAGAAACTAAACAGAAACAGAAATCAGCGACACATGGTACAAATCAAGTTAGGTGACCTCTTACACTAAAAATGGGGTTTTGTATACACCGTTTATCAATTGTGGATTAATGGCCGGTGTCAAAAGATTGTTTCAGCTGGTTGGGACGAGTTTTAGCGTCCATTGCCATTGTGGAGAGGTGGCCATTATAGAGAGGTTAAAATAAGTTAGATTTTAAATGTATGGACTGTCCATTGGGACCAAGAAAGTGGCCATTGTAGAAGGATTACTCTGGTCCCAGAGGTTTTTCTTGATATTTCTTCTTTTCGCAAAGCGGCAAACATGAGTTGCAAAGTGGCGAGAAAGAAAAACCCCTGGTTACCTTGGACTTGAATCTCACTTTCATGCAGACGCCAGCTGTCAAACGCATCAAATTGATAATTACAAAAGGGACCGATGGCAACTTAGCAATCACGTGCTTATCAGCTGCTAATGGTTTCCGCTCGGGTGGTGGAGAGTGGTATCACTTGACCTACTTGGCCGGGGTCAATGCGCGTGTTTGCAAGAATTAATGTTTTCATCCGCAACGATCGCAAAGGTTCTGTCTTGTTAAACATTACTACAGAGCATGTTTCTCCACTTACTCGTTTTGTAAGAAGGACTTGGAACTTCCGAATAGAAAGACATAAGCTTCTTGTCTTCGCTGCTCAAACTGGCCGCTGAAATGCCACGGTTTCGCAGTTCGCGGATATGAGAGTCCACGAGAGACTTAGAGGACACACAACCAAAATTGTGCCATGATGAGGGTATGAATAACCTGACAGGCACGGGTATTTGCAGACATCAGAGAGCAACTGAAATATAATTGATTTTCCATGTCTGGTTGGCAGTATGGCGAACAACACATCCTTGCGATTTATGACTGCGAGTAAGGCTTTTCTTTTGATGTTCGGTGAGACTTTCAACCTCTGGAAAATGCTGCTTAAGTACCGAAGTCAAAATTTCTTCGAAGACACTGTCAGAAACATAATCCATGTCGAACATAGGCGAGTCTTGAACGTGTATAAACTGAGAACTGAAGTATTATGCAAACAAATTCCTTCCCTGGTAGAGAGGCAAAATTTACCTCAAGTAGTGCAGTGACAGATATCCCCACCATCCCCGCAGTATTACAAATCAAACGAACCAATCATATTGATTTGCGTGTTTGTAAAAATATCAACCAATCCAAGCCTGAGGGTCAGATCCTGACCCTGGCGTCTGCATGAAAGTGAGATTCAAGTCCAAAGTAGCTAGAGGTTTTTCTCTCTCGCCGCTTCACGACTCGTGTTTTCATTGCTTCACAGCTCTCTCGCAGCTCTCTCATGCAGAGAAAAATCAAGAAAAACCTCTGGGACCAGGGTATAGAAGGATGGCCATCAGTGGAGGTTTGACTGTAGTCAAAATTGCAAAAATTCTGATTCATAAGTAATATTCAAAGAGGCTTTGAAATCAGTTTGCTGCACTGGAAAATTCTCATAGAAAATGGTACCTCTCTGGACTACCTTTTAAGAAGGCAAACCAAGCCTCTTATTCCTGTGGATTGAAATTTCCAGAATTTTTTACTTTAAGTGCAAAACAGCATGGAACCCTTTAAAATTGAAGGTGCCTTCTTTTTTAAGGCTGAGTACATCTCATGAGGTATCTCACTCTGTTCACTACACAAATATTTCTAGAAAAATTATGTTTACTTGGCAAATGGTAGAGGCTGTCGAAAATCACAGTATTGCTGACGAGACACTAGTACATGGCACAAACTTTTTAACAATTTCAAACTTACAACAGAAGTTGTACTACTGTACTCTAGTGGTTTTGATAGTAGTCTCAGATGTTGTTGTTGTTGTTGTTTTTTTTTCTGCATTCTAGGTCTGGTCGTGGTTAAACTGATTGCTGGTGATGACAGTGCATCAAGTCCCCTTTCTCCAGTAATGGGATATGGCCATTTTAATGTATCTAATAAAGATGGAAAAATATGTATCTTGTTGGATTTGTCTTGTTCTGTTAGTGTGCAAGTGAATAACACAGTAAGTTTGGTGGTTAATAACTACATGTAGTGGCATAATTCCCCACCTTAGCCTGCATGTTATTCTTTTTGGCCAAGACCACATTTTACAAAATAGGATTAAAATTGAGTATTACACTAATAAATAATAATTTGTTACACCCAATGGTAGGCAGTTTGGTTAACCTCATGGAAGGATAATGTTTGGAGTAACCAACTATCATCCCACTTAGGGAGAGCTCTGGACAGTTTAAGGAGCTACGTCACAGTTTGCACATATTGAAAAGTTTAGCTTAAATTTTTCAAGTTTGTCATTGGTAATCCATGGGAATCTCCATTCTTGTTGCTTTTTGATTTATTGTTATGATTATGTATCTCTCTGGTTTTTCTCTATCTTAGTAAACTATTGTTTCCAGGCTTCCTGCAATTTAGAGGTAATTTTGTCTAGGTGGCCAAAATAACTCAAAATACTGTGACTAAGCTCCTTTAATGTTAATCAAAGAGAAATAAAGTGGTTGTCTGACTGACATTGATTGACATCCCCTCATCACAATCTTCTGATTCTTTTAGGTCCTTCAGTATGTTCTTCCACTGAATGCTTATTCAGATGGAAGCTGCAGTAAGGAAACATCATCAGTTACTCTTTTTTGGGAAGATCTTGGGACCAGCCTGACTCTCTCCATGGCATTTACAAATGTGGAAGAAAAATGGAAAGCAACCAGCCTTGCCTTCACTGCAGTAACTACAGTTGATAACAGAACAGGTCAGTGATGTTACAAGCTACCTGGCCTCCGTTGTTCAAAGGCTGTATAGTGCCATCCACTGGATAAATCACTATCCAGTGGATAATGTAGTTTGTTTTGTCAACACTTATCGATTCGTCCAGTGGATAGCCTTATCCAGCCTTCGAACAACTGGGGCCTGATGTAACAGCTTTGTTCTCCCTTTCCCTTATGGTGCGAGAACTTCAAATCAAGTCTTTTTTTGGTAAGCTTTTTTTTCCAATAGCGTTGTTATCGATTATAGGAATTTTGCATTTCAAAACAACCAGTAGTTGGGTTTACGTTTCCAAAGGATTGTGGTGGTGAAAACTCCAGTGGATCAATGCAGAAGGTCCTTTCTCTAGTCACAGCAAAGAAAATAGACATTTTATGTTTCACAAAAAAGGGGACATTTTCCACATGAACCTTATTTTATGTCCAAAGCACAGCCTTGTACCCTGCAGGATGGAGATTTCCTTCTCTTTCTGCTCAGTGAGAGATAAGGCAGGAACCGTTGCTCACAACACTTTGGATTTCCTCTCATGCATGCCATAACCACATCAGCATGTTACGCATTTGCTTTGCTAGCGAAACATTTACACACAATCAGCTTGATATTTTATAATTTAATATTTTGAGGTAACTGTTGATTTTTTTTTTGTGTTGATTTCCTTGTCATGCCATTTCTCCCATTGAAAGAGACCAATGTAAGTGCTGTGCAGAATGACTCCAGCAAGCTAGTGATAACAGCAAACAAAGAGAAAAGCTTTCAGTGCAGTAAGAGCCTGGACATAGCATTAAAGAGCAAGGAGCCAGTAACAGTGACCATGAAGAAAATAAAGGTGCAGCCATTTGGTGACAGCTTTGGTAAAGGTAAAAAGGCATAAGTGTTGCTTGGAAGGAAACTATTAAATAAAATTTAGGACATTATTTAGAGAGGAAGCCAGAGGAGCCCTCACTGGCTTTCCATGTGGGTCCTCTGTCCAGTTCAAATTGGAACTTGGAACTTGGTTTTCTAGAAGGGGGGAAACATTACAGAACACAGAGAAAAACCCTCAGAGCAAGGCAAGGACCAACTCTACCGACATTTGGCACCAGACTAGAATCAAACCTGGGCCCTATTGGTGGGAGGGGAATGCTCTCACCACTTCACCATCCCTGCACGTTGTTTCACAGGCCATTTGGGAACTTTTTCAATGACTCAATGTTGCAACATCTCAAAATTACAGAGTGATTAATTGCAGAATGCATATTCTGCATTGCAGCTGTTCTTTAATGTGGCATGAATAGTGTCTGTGATGGATCTATTTCTTTTGAATTGTTGAAGAATTTAATTACAAATGACATAGACTGAGGGATTGCTTGCTTTTTGCTTCTCAGCTGATGTTTGTTCTTCAAGTAGCAATGGAACTCCTGCCGAACCAGTGGACACAGTTGTACCAACTGCTGTGGGTTGTGTGTTGGCCGGCTTAGTCATCATACTTATCATTACATATTTTGTGGGCCGCTGTAAGAAACCTGGCTATGAGAAAATGTGATTTTAATTTTGGTGCAAGGAAATAATGAATGTGATCAATAATCCAAATTATTGGAGGCTGTGTGAAAAATTAATTAAAGATCATTGGACTAGAGCACTACACAAGTGAGAAGATGACAGTGGAGGGTTTTCAGTAGTTTACAGTAGCTCTGTCACGAAATGTTGTAGTCATTTTACTGATGTACAAACTCAGTTCAAATTGAAGGGGTCATTACAATTGTAGTTTGATGTCAAAGAAAGCAATGACGGGGCATTTTGTTTACATAATTTATGTGTGAAAAAGTATCCAATGATAAGACTGAGCAAATGACAGCAATGGAATTAGTGTTGAATTGTATCTAATTTAACTTGCACTGGCTTCATAAAATCACTCAAACAAGTCAAGCTGTTCAATAGCCAGGGGGGGACTCCCTTATAGAAAGGATGGGGGTGCTCGTCGGAAATTTTGAAAAGAACCCCTCAGAGGTATCAAGTTCCTGTTTGTGGGCATGCCTTGATTTTTTTTCTCCCCCAAGAGATACCAATAATCCTTACATAACACATTATCTCCCGTAATATTTTTTCACCTCAATACCCTTAAAGGTACCGCAAAAGTTCCTTTTGAGGCTGAACACTCTCAAGAGGTACCAAAACCACTTTTTTAACCCTAAAAGGTATGATGAGCACCCCTGTTGTATTTATATGGGAGTTGTTCAACCCCCCCCCCCCCCCCCCCCCCC